ATCACCTTCCTTTCCAGGGCACTTGAGAAAAAACTAGTATTGATTTAAAATGTCGTTGTTAAAATATCGATCAGGGATGTCTGTGCTTGCATTAACTTTTTCTGTTCTTACCTATGTTTGTATACTTTTTCTAGCTTTATTTTCTTAACCAACTTTCCTCATTCCTTTATACTTCTGTATCTCCTTTACCAGTCAATCTCCCTTACGTTACCTGCTTAAGTGAGGATTCTGTTTAACATAAATCTTGTGATTTAAAAACAAAACTCTGATGTCCAGGACACCCAGATTATTTGGACAAACACAGTAACATAAAAACATAAGAGTGCTATAAAATGATGTAGACTAAAAGCAAAGTCATTTTGAATCTTACAGGATGTGATAATATGAAGAAGAAACAGGAAATGCCATATAGGGACAGACCAAGCTGGCATAATTTCCCATATGAGATTATGCTTGTCTTTCAGATGCAAACAGAAGTCTCTGACTTGTCAACCAAAGCTAATGATCATTTTATAGACACCACATCTATGGAGGGTAACAGAAATGGTATTTTTTTACTAATATTAATAAGGGTTTCTTTTTATGTTACTTCACCTCTAATATACCGTAGAGGTGCAGTTTATAAACTAAGGATGTATCTACACATGCTATTACTGCACATTAATGAACTCCAGAGCTTTTTCTTCAGAGTTTATTGCTCCTGGGCATTCAGTTTGAATGTGCACCTGGGAGCAATTGCTCTGGAGTTTATTCATGTGCAGCACATGGAGCCGGGTCAGAGCAGGGGGCTGAGGCTCAACATGCTGCAGAAGGTCTGGCTAGGGCATGAAGGTGCTTCAGTAAGGGGCTAGCTGGCAGGCAGCCCCCACACTGAAGCACCCTTATTCCCCAGCCAGCCCCTCCAGTGTCTACACATGCACTTCTGCACAGTAAATTAATTCATTCCAGCTTAATAGGGGTGCACATGTAGATGCTGAGATGTTTACAGCACAGCTAATTAGTCAACTCTGCAGTAAACATCACGTGTAGATGCGCCTTTACTGAATCAGAGATGCATAAGCTTTCATGAGCAACAGCTCATTTCAAAAGGTATACCTCTACCTTGCTCTCTGCCTGACTTCAGGCTAACTACCTCTCTCTAAAATCCTGGTTCAAATATTGCTCAGATAATTAGTGATAAGCTGTTTGGGGGGCTGTGTGGAATGATCTGATAAACTCAGTCTGCTCTCTGAGTGAATGTCACACATCACAAATAAATCCTTCAAAGAAGGCACAATTGTTTTTCTTGCTGAGTGTGTGGACAAAGAAGCCAAAAGCTGAAAGCCACAGAAAGTGATTGCTTTTCCCTTTATATAAAGGTGATCCTTTCAAAGCATTGCTGAGTGGTGGTGTTATGCTGGAGTGAAGAAAGCCTTTTTTCCTAAAATGTTCAATACTTTATAAAGTTTGATTTAAAGCTGAAAACATCCAAAACATTTAAAAATAATATAAAGCTATATATTAACTGCAAAGTTAAAAGAATATAAAGTTGTATGATTATGTAATTTTATGCATGCGTTCTAACTTTGTTTATAACTAATAGCATGTAGCAGCTTATGAGTAAAAGTGAAAAAATCACTTTAAAAATCAGTTTATACTAACCAGTTCTACAAGCCTCCTAGACATCAACATCTACCCTTTATTCAGGGTAAATAATTATGGATGCCCATTTTATGTCTAAAGACTGTGTTACTATATAACAGATTTTGAATTGTGGAGATTTTATTTTATTTAGAATGAGCACAGTGTTTTTCTCCAACACATTAACTGAAAAATGGAATCCTTTTTCACTGAGAACAAGTGAAAAACCACAATTATACCTAGACTGAATTCCACAGTGGGATATTAAATGGCTGATGTTGAGCAATTTAGCTACAGAACAAGATGTGTTGCCAGGGTTGGCCACAGCAAATTTTGCATTTCCTAGTAAGAAAACACTGTTATTTAAAGAAGTAAATGAACACACAAACACTGAGGTGATATACCTCAACTAATAGCACCTTGCAAGTACTTTGTGTTGAATGCTCTGAGCTTGCACAACATTGCTTTTTGTAAGAAAAACAGATTTTTAATCACTAGGTAAAATGAGGGAAAGTTTATTTTTGTTCTAAAATCAGTTGTGTGAATATAAGCATACTTCACTACCACTCATATTAACATCTGTCTAGGACACGGCCAAAATCTATGGTTAATTAAATTATTTAATTAAGATATGCAAACAGATAACTAAGGTGTACAAACAGATAGAAGTGATACTCTAATACAAATAATCATTATGAAAGAAACTGGGAGTATTTTGCTATGAGTACTTTATTTCTGTTACTTAGTACCTTATCTGTAGTATGTAAGCATTTCAGAATATGTAATGTTTATATTCTCATAGAATCATAGAAAAGGAGGGGTGGAAGGGACCTGAGAGGCTGATCTAGTCCAAATCCCTGCCCAAGGCAGGATCATTCCTATCCAAACAATCCCATATAATTTCTTGTCTAGCACATTCCTAAAAATACACAGTGACAACAAACTTCATAATACCTCAGTGTGGAGTACGGCTATTATAATTATTTTGGTGGTGGGGTACTGAGGCTCAGAGAGACAATTTACAAAGAAAGCCAGTGTCAAAATAAAAATTGAACCCAGGTCTCCTGAGTACCTGGAAAACCTGTTGACTCTCCTTAATGACTGTTTTTCCTTGTTATCAAATCCCATTTTCTTTTTGGCTTGACTATAACCCAGAATTAAATTTGCCTATAGGCCAAGGATATGAAGGTCCAAGTTGTAGAGAATGAAATACAGACCATGCTATACTTATTTGATATCCAACCATTCAGTGTCCAGTCTCATGGGCTGTCAAAATGGTACCTTTTCACGAGCAATAATTCACTCTCAAACAAAATTCAGAGGTATTCTATAGCCTCATAGCTCTGCATTGTCTAGCAAGTGTCACCCATACAATCATTCTCTATTACCATATTTACTTGAATCTAATATGAGGTTTTTTCCCCCAGTCAGTATGGGGAGAAAGCCCTTCATCTTAGATTCACATACAAAGTGGAGGGGGAGGCAGGCAGCTGCTGTGGCTCTGGCTGGAACAGGAAGAGTCAGAAGCTGTAAGGAGGCGGAGGTGGTGGGATGCAGATGGTGGGGGAAGCAGAAGACTGCAAGGGAAAGAACTTGGTGGAGAAGAGGTCAAAGGAGCTGCCTACATCCCCTCCCTGCCCCCCCACCCCCCAGGG